TCAGCAGCAGCAGCATCATAATCAGCATCACCATCATCATCTCAACCACAACCATCACCATCATCCCAACATTCACACGTAGCCCCTCCTAATCCTCCTCCCTCAGCTCCCCCCGACGGCGCCTTGACCCGCGTTTGGAACTGAGAACTCTGGTGGCGACGCGCCCTTACCAGCAGCATCCTCCCTCCTTTCTTCTGTTCCCTCTCGCTCTCCTGCCCCCTCCTCCTCCTCCTCCTCCGCCTCCTCCTCCTGCGATCTCTTCCTGCTTTTCTAAACCTCCTCCTTCTGCTCGTGCTCCTCTCCTCCCTCCCTTCTCCTGCCTATCTCCCTGTGGGCGAAAGGGGTTATGAGCAGAGGAGGAACGGGGAAGGAGGACGATAGCGAGATGCAGAAGAAAAATAGCCAGGAGGAGAAGCACATGCAGAGAAGCGGAGAAGGAGAGAAACAGAGGAAGGAGTGAAGGAATAATGTAGTTCCCGAAGGAGAAAGGAAGCAAGAGAGGGAGAGAGATGGAGAGGTACCAGAGAGAGGAGAGGGAAGAGGTGGAGACAAGAACGAAGAACGAATGACACGCAACGATGCATGAAAACCGAGGGACGACGGATGATAGGCGAAGAATTACGGACGAAAGCGAACGATGAAGGGCAAAAGAAAAAGGACGACAGCCAAAATACAGGGAGGGGAGGAGGAGAGAAGGATAGAAAGACTAGAGTCAACAAAAGAGAAAGAAACTGAGAAGAAATGGGAAAAGGTAAATGCACAGAAGGAGCACGGTAAAGAGACAGACAGAAGGAGGGCAAGCGTCGTGGCAAACGGAAGGGGAAGAGGACATGGACCGGCGTGGAGAAGCGACATACGGAGCAGGAGAAGGAACACATCGTGAGACGCGGGAGGAGCACGAGGACCCGAAGAAAGAGGAGGAGGAGGAGGAGGCGGAGGAGCGGGGGGCGCGGAGGACCAGGAAGCGGGCGGAGGAGGGCGCGGAGGAGGAGGAGGAGGAGGAGGGGGAAGAGGAGGAGGAGGAGGAGGAGGAGGAGGAGGAGCACGAACAAGAAAAAGGCCCCTCCTGCGTGGTGCGCTCCGCCTCGCCGATCTCCGGCCCCAGCGGCCAGATGGGCCGGTCGAGGCTGGGCGCCACCGAGGCCAGGAGGTCCACCACCGCCAGGGCTTCCGCGGCCAGGGCGCCGCCCTCGGGGGGATGCCGCCAGGCGCCATCGCTCGGACGTCCCTTTCCCGTGCACTTTTCGGTGTCGTGCGTGAGGATGAAAAATGAAACAGATAATCAAGAATGATAAGAATCAATCTCAAGACTAATCAAGAATGATAAGAATCTCAAGAATGAAGATAAGAAGACTTTTTAAAGCATGACTCAAGAATAATCAGTAGTAGTCGACAAATCGTCCCGATGGTCCAGGATGGTCCTCAACGAATCCCGCCGAGGAAAAAATGCACACGTCCGAGCGATGCCAGGGCAAGGCGCCGGGCTCGACGACCGCTGCCCGCGGGGCGCCCGACCTCGCGCTCCCGCGCCCCGCGGCGCGCGACGCGCGACTCTCCGCGTGCGCTCGCGCTCTCGCGCCCGCCGCCTCGGCGAAGGGCAGCCGCTCTGGCGCGCACCGCGACGCGCGGAGCGCGATCGTCGCCGCCGCGGCCCCGCGGGCGCGACCTGGAGAGCAGTCCTCTCCCGCCGACGGCACGCGCAACCCCCACTCTGCCAGGGGCGACAAGGCGTGCGAGATGCTTGGACGGTCTCACCATGTCCTCCTCCCCCTCCTCCCCCTCCTCCTCCTCCTCCTACCCCTCCTCACCCTCCTCACCCTCCTCCCCCTCCTCCTCCTCCTCCTCCTCCTCCTCCTCCTCCTCTCCTCCTCCTCCTCCTCTCCTCCTCCTCCTCCTCCTCCTCCTCCTCTCAAGCACATGTGGCCCCGTCCCATCCGTAGGCCCCGCAGGCGCCGCTCCTCCGTGGGCTCTTCCCACGGGCTTCGGCAACCCCTCGACCCGCACGGGCGGGGGGGCGGAACGGCCGCCCGCTTTTTGGCTTATCGCTGGGCCATGGTCACGTCCCACGCCTCCACGTCGGCGCTCGAGGGACGCCCAGGCCTCGGCACCGTGCTTGCCGCTTTTCTGGGCGACGAAGTGGGACGAACTGAGGCAGGCCGCCTTAGGGCACTCAGCCTCCGGCAGGATCCGGAGCCATCAGCCCTCGCAGGTGCCGTCACCCTCAGTGCTGCAATCCCTCGTCACCGCAAGGGGGTTCCCTGGCGCTTGCTGGTGGCGTCGTCTACAGTGCCGCTCTTTTCTATCAACGAGCTGGTGCCGCCACGCCTGGATCAGCGCGTGCCAGACGAGCAAACCGAGGCAGCGGACGGTGGCGCTGCCGAGCGAGGCCCAACGCCTTCAGCTACAATGCTTGGATCGGTACATGCGAGAAGGGCGGCAGTGGCAGCAGACGACCCCACATGCCCATCGGCACGTTCTCACCTACTGTGCCAAAATGGGTTGGGGTCCACTCACATACAAGCCCGTCGGCGCGCCTTAATTTACCGTGTCGCAATGGGCTTGTACCAGTGTTTGGCCAATGGTACTTTCCTACGGGATTTCTCAGAATTGTGCACAGTGTTACAGTTCTTATCTTTGTATTTCACCTTCTTTCAGATGTGCTGTACGACGGAACGTCTCAGGTTGGCGGGCGGTCGTTCTCTTCGGTACTCGACACATGCTCCGCGAACATGGGCGCACCAAACATATACTGCACTCGCTCACCTGGGGAACGGAACGCAGAGGGACGCCTTCGGTGCAGACGGAGTCGGTGCACTGGACTCGGCTTGGGCGTGCAAGGGAAATGCGGGCATCTCGTGCTCTGGTTGTTCCTTTCCTGGCGCCTGGTGATCAGCTCCCAGGGGCGGCCAGGCCTGCGGCTGGTTGCAGCATACTGATGTGGTGTTGTGATACAAATCCCGAGTTGATGCCTCGCCGCATTACGAGGCGAGATGGGGGTGCCCAATTTCTCCCACGGCCGTTCAAGTTTATGTCCTGCACACCGTACTTTCCTATTCCATCGGAACCATGTGAATGCGTTGTAGCACAATTGTTGTGTGTTCATTTCCAGTCTC